GACCCGGATTTCCAGATTCCCGTGTGGTGTGTGATGTATGAAATCTGATGATCACACTAATTTGAAAAGCACTGTAATAGACAATTTAGAAATCATAGAGTCACATCTTTTTGCAAAGCGCGATAAGTGGATTTTGAATCTCAAAACAACTTAAGTAGAAATAGAATTTTAAAATTGTAAACAATGTAGATTTCAATATATATTAATTATTTTCTATAACATGTTCACTATTTCTTATTTATAGCGGTTTGCAAAAAGGTGTGACCTCTACAGATCGTAATGTCACGAGATTTTTCGATTCTTAGAGAATTTTAAAGATTCCGAATAAAATATAGACGTTATTGATCGAAAATTATAAATTAAAATCTCGGAAATTTTTCGCTATCATCATCACGAAATCGCAGTCACACCTTTTTGCAAACCGCCATAATACCACGAAATGATACTGCTTCCACACACGTTTATATCCGTAAGAAACGTTCTCACTTTATCGATAGCGATAATTTGGATTCGTTTTCAATCCAACATCTATAGCTGAAAAAGAATTTTAAATCGATTGTTTAAGTTCCAAATTTGTACAATATTAATAGGGCCATGAGTACTGCATTTATAAATTTTAATTTGATTGTGAGAATGACGGCTTGCAAGTAATTTTTTTTTCGAAAAATTTATTAATTAATTAGGTCACATATTGAAATAAAATAATATTCCTGGTTGAAATTTTAAAACTTTCGCGAAACACTATATAGTTATTAGCCAATAACGGAAATTATTTTTAAAATAATTTCATTATCTGGCTGAGTAGCATTCAATAATGGTATTATCCGGTATCTTACGACGACCGAACCAACAGAATAACTCAAGTTCTTTTAATGATGATTGCATCATTAAAAGAACTCGAGTTTTCTGTTTGTATGATCATAATAAGGTGCCGGATAAAGTACGATTATTTTAAACACATATACCAGGAACTGTACGAAGAGTATGGTTTAAAAATTGCTTTCGGTAACGATATTAAAAAAGGTACGTAACTACCTTACTGTCATTCATTATTTATTCAATACAGCATAGTACTCATTTATGTTTATATAATAAAAAGGTGTACTGTACGGTTATATAATATAGTACACCTAAATTTAAGTACAGTACAGTATAGTATATTCATAAACAAATACACCCCGTATAGTTTCAAGATTTTGATGTGATATACGTGTATTAACTAACGTACTGTACGTATGCACGTACGCGCGCAATATCAGATACGAACTATAAAATAACAAAGTTTAGAAAAATTAAAAATTAAATTTTTTAAGCCACAGAATATTTTTATTTACTATGGAGCACCAAGTGTTGATTGTTTAGTCAATTTTTGAGATATAGTAGATATAGTGCACTTTAATATACTCAGTTTTTAATTTTGATGAAAAATTAATTTACTGTTGAATAATTTAATTGCTTGTGGAATTGTAGCAAATTATAGTATACGCCAACTCAGAGCAAACAGTTAAAGGTACTAATTTTGTTCTAATTTTAGCCCGAATCCTTTTTTTTTTTTTTTGTTCAACCTTATATGTAATTATCGGAAAATATTATAGGCCCCAGTGTTGGCATCACTGATAAATTATAACATTTTTCGATATAAAAGGTATATAACCAGAATTTAGATGCAACCAGGAATCAGATGTTCTTAGGTGAGCCAAATAATTCTTTAAAATTAAATGCATTAATTGTTCCACCTTGTTGGTAATTAATCCAACCCAGGAATAATAATGTACTGTGCGCGTGCGTATTTTAACGCATTTTGCAACCCCAATTAGCCCACTACTATATGCGGTTATTCCTAAATTTCAGTCAACCAATTACAGTTCATCTGTCCCGATATGTAAACGATTAGTCATTGTAAAAAATCAGGCCACCATGTAAAATCGAAAAAAAAAAAGCATGATAATATCAAGGCCAATCAAATTCAAGCCAACACCTCAGGCCACTTTTTTTTTTTTGGTTCAGCACAATAGATGTTAGAAAATGGAAGTTATAAATTATCTTGAGTTTTCACTCTCAAAAACGTTATCGTTATACTATCTGAGACTAACCAAATCTAGATGTGTGAATCCGATTCTTCGATTAATGGGTCTTCAGACCTTCAAGATTTATTAATGTGCGAATCCTCCATCGATGATACTTTGACCATGATTAATAACAAACTTTCTACTGCTCAATCGTCTGCCGTGAAGTTATCAAAGTTTGAAGCTCAAATTCAAGCTATGTTCATCAATAATAATGCAATGAACTCTTCATCTTCTCAAGCTGGAAATTTGTCATTGAATGATTTTCAATATCCAGTTCCCTCTTCAAACATTCTTTCTCTGGGTTCTTCAAAGTCTTTTCTATATTCATCAAACTCTATCTCCCTTGATAATATCCGTCGAAAGTCTTTGCAAGATTCGCTTACCTCTAGCCAAAACTCTGCAGAATCTCAAGAAATATTTACATTCTCTCCAAACTCTGCTAACCTTGATGATTTCAATTCTTCGGAATATTTATACCAATCGCCTATTTCTAGCGAAAGTTCTATTGAAGATATCAGTTCTCCAGACATATTTTCTCAATTAACTCATAATTTCTTTCAAGATTCAAATATCTCTCCAACTAACTCTACATTGGCCGACTTTAGTAATCACTCTTCTTCAATGAAAGATACACTTGATACATATAATACCTTATTTCGTCCAGGGTCAAATTTTGACCCTCTAGGCATCCAGTCTGAAAATGGTAGAAAACGCGCTTCTATTAAATGTGTTTCGACTTCTTCCGATGAATCTTTAAAAAAGAAACGTAAAGCTGAAAATGGAACTGTTAAATCCGGAAAGAAAACAAGTATTTACCACAAGTCCACAAAAATGATTGCTCCTTTTATCAAATACGAAGCAGATTCTGATATTAAGGATGAAAGTTTTTTGACATCAAACATGCATTCAAAATCTCCTGTGATTGATATGAATACCATGAATCGAACCACCAAACCTTTTGATACTAATCTTGTTCAAGACAAGCATTCTGATAAAAACGCATCTTTTGGTACGAAGTTGCCAATATCTCGCCTCAAGTATTTGACCTCAACTTTTCAACCACAACCAAATTCGAAAACTCTAACAAACAAACAACAGAAAAAAATTGCTCATAATGTGATTGAGCGCCGTTATCGAAATAACATTAATGAGCGAATAAATGAGTTAAAAAATGTGGTTCCCGCATTTTGTCATTCAACAAGCAAAGATGATGACGTAACCGAAGAAGTAGACAAAATTTCGCCTGCAACGAAAATAAATAAAGCTACTATTTTGAAAAAAGCAACCGAATATATTAAACATTTAAAAATGAATAATTACAAATTCAAAAGTGAAAATGACGATTTAAAAAAAATGATTGCAACTATTCCTGGTGGTACCGAGTTATATAATTCTTATTTCAAGGTGGAAAATGAACTTACTCCGCTAAATACTCCTCTCTCTGATATTGATCCTTCTCCGACTCCTTCCTCTGGAAATGTTGCCTCAAGAACATTGTTGACTTTGTTCATGTGTATAGTTTTTTTTACAGATCCAACGAAACACGTTCCACATCATAATAGTGATGAAGGACGTGTTATTGTTAGTAATAATTTAAATAATACCGAATCATCAGTTCCAAATAAAATTTATAATTCGCAAAGTGACATAATAATCGATATTTGGTATGTATATTAAAATTTCATTTCTTTTTCTAATATACTATAATATAAAACTTATATGTTACATTGTTAAAATAGGTATTTGATCAGGATCTTTGCATTCCTTGTGTGTTTTACTTATTTCGTCTGGCCATCTTTGTTTTCAATTAAAGAACAACGAACCCGCAAATCTGCTATAATTTCTTGTTTAACTTCCAAATATAAAGATGTAACAGAGCTTTATTCGTCTCTTTCGTCCCTTTCGAATAGTTCGTCAATGAATACTTTTGGTTATGCAACTGGTCTTTTTATCGAAACTTTAAAACTATTTTTAAAGTTTTTGGGTTGGGAAATTTCTTGTACTTATTTTAATGTAGATATGGATGAAAGATTGTTAGAGGTTGAATTATGGAACCGACTTGGTGAAGCAGAATTATGTGGTGGTGAGTATTTAAATTTATAATAGATAATGTAGTTTATTGATACTGTATATGATATTATTATTTATAATTTTTTTTAACGTTTCTTATCATTTTTTCAGGAAACAAGCGTGCAACTTGCCTTTCAGTCTTATACACATGCCTTCGAACAATTAACCTTTTGGAAAGTCCTTACACTTATAATAAGAGTATGCGCATCAGTCCTTCTCGTATATACGCAAACGCTGCATTACAATGTCATGTTGGTCTTCGGTCAGTTCCCATTTTATCCCATAGAGCTGTATCTTATTTCTGGAAATTAGCTATTAGAGAAAAGGATCGTTCCAACTCAGAAGAGAAATGGATTGAAATCGCACTTATTAACGACCAGAATAATAATATTTTGGAAAGCGTAGCTAATAGGATCAGGGATCATGTTTTTCATTTATCGGAAAACGAAGAAATATTTAAACCCAAGATCTGCACAACTGTCCCACTTGTTTATGTTTCCGAAGTTCAAGCTCTCTTCCATATCAAGGAAGCCTTTTCCAATCTTATTTCTGTACGACATAACATCAATAAAAAGAAATCCAAGTTTACCTTTTCCGAACTTCTTGGTATTACCACACCTGCTTCCCTAATGCATTGGTATGCATTGGTTGGATGTATTGTCCAGGCTTTTTATGAGGGTGAAAATGATCTTGGTGCAAAACTAGTAAACAAGTTAAATGAAGAATCAAATGCTAATGACGGCTTGAGTAAACAAATTATTACAATGAGTTTACTCTCTCGGTATCTCTTAATTTGTGATAAAATCGAAGCTTCTATTCATTATGCAGATAAAGTTATTGATTATGTATCTTTACGAAAAAATAAGAAAATAGAAACTACTGAAGTCGACAAATATTTGGCGATTAGAGAAATTGTCAAAGATATTGATAATTTGGTAGAAATTTGTGTTGGGTGGAGTGTTTTAGAAACAAGAATCATTATTCTAGGAATTGTCGGAAATTCGCTATCAAAAAATAAGGATAAAGTTTTACCAAATGTACTTGATGAGAATTATATAAGATCTTCCATTAACGTTTGGGCTCGTTATCTACGTCGATTATCAAAATTAAATGTATTTGATAACATTCCAGACTTGCGAGAAAAATTTATAAGGCAACTTGAAGCAGTCGGAAGGATTATATCTGGCATAGATGAAGAAATTGACTCTGGGTATGATTATGGTGATTACGATAAACAGAACAATAATGAATATAAAGCCGCAAGAGCTTTGTGTACCTTAAAGGGCATGTAAACATAATAACATCCTTCTATATCTGATACTTCTATTATATTGTTTGTACATATTATTTGTCTATAGATTAAGGTAATGAAATTTGTAAAAATTGGGTTTTCTTATATTTTCGTTAATGAGTACTCCATTAATTCAAAAATTAGCATCCGCATTTTTATTATTACACTCTTTATTTTACTATTTTAGCGAAAAATTTTTTTGTACATTTGACATCCCTTTATAATTTTTCTAATGATTTTCATGTTTAGACTAATATGTAAAAAATTTTCACTTAATAAACAATTTATTAACGTTAATAAAAAAAAACTTTTTTTTTTTTTTGAATTTTTGACTTAATCTGTCTTATCGTACAGCGCTGCATACAGTACTCCCGATCTTATTCAAAAGCCAAGCGAAATTGAATATTGTAATACCCAGGAGTACTGTGTGAAGTGGAGAATACTACTATACAAGAGGTAAATTCTGAAGAGTATAATCATGCTATATAGTTAATTATCGAATCTGCGTAGTAATGTTGAAAACAAGCTGATGCATTTGATCACACCAACAACAATCAACAAACCAACACTACTAAAATAGTCTCTAATCTGGACCTTAATAGTGGAAGGCAACGATCGAGGCGTGGAAATATTTGATCCGAGGAACTAGGGCCTTTGGATTGGAGCTCTAGATTACGTTACGAGGCTCTAATTCTGAGTTAAACTGATCAAATTATTCATTAATCAGGGGAGTTAGTAAGACGAAGAACCTTTTGGAACTATATGTGAGTCGTTGACTGACTTTATTCATGGTAAACTTTTAGTCTTTATATACTTCTTTAGTTCTATATACTATATATTATATCTATATATTACATCTGCATATCTGGAAGATTTAACAGAATCGACCCGAACCACCCCTGCGACGATCTTTCCCTCTTACAACTCGCGCTTTTTTAAATTAAATATATAATTTAGATTAGTAATAGAAGTAACAAAAAGCATAATTATGATAAGGAATTTTTTTGTCAGTATATGAAAGGTCATTTCATAGATGAATTGGTGAAATAGTTTGAAAAAGATCGCTTTAGAAAGCGGTTTTGCAATCTTAACGTGATGACATTGGTGGTTTGGGGTCAAAATCCCGACAAAAACTGACTGGAATTATAGCTAATGCGGGCTAACTTGTCGGGATTTTGACCTAAAACTGGTTGTATATATATATTACATGTGCCCACGCTAAAAACTTGTTAATTTGATTGGCTACTTGTAGTATCTACGTCATCTAGTTTTTAAAATATATATCAAAGCATATCAGATATACAGTGGCGATCATAAGTAATGGAGCAAAAAAAAAATTTTACTTAGATCACGTTATTTCGAGCGTATCTTTTTTTTTTTTTTTAATTTATTCGTGAATACTATAGATTTCATGTATTAAAAATTCAAAAAAAATAAATGAACCTA